AGCAGGAATACTCTGAGCATCAGAATACCTCTGAGCGTCAACATACGACGGCAGCATCCAGACCCCGCGCTATCCGTCCTCTCTGTCCTTCCCGGGGTTAGGGGCTGTGGGAGAAACGTGGAGAACCTGGAACCCGTGGGAATCTTTCCTTGCAAGGCTCATGGATGCAAAAGCTGCAGTGTTTAATACTCACTGGAGCCCCTCATTTCAGGGCTCATAGAGTTTACAAGCTACCCCAGCATTTACAATCTACCTGGGTGCTTCAGTCCTGAAGTTACAGGATTTGCAAACTCCTCCAGCGCTGCTTCACTGGACCTGCTCCCTCCTCTCAGGATTCAGGGAGCGAACGCGCTCCTGCACTAACAGGGCCAAAGCATTAACACCCCAGAGTCCATCATTTCAGGGCTCACAGAGTTTACAAGCATCACTTGGAGCCCTGGACAGCTTGTAACTCAGGCGAGACGTGCACATGCATGGTCACCTGCAGACCAAGAAACCACTACAGGCTACAGATCACCTTATCAGCAATTGCTTGCGTTTTGTGCAACTCTGGGGCTCGCACAAAGTCCTTCTGGCTGGTGGAAGGGATCCACAGGTCTTTGAGCCCCCTCTGACGCAGGAGACTGCCGGCACGCATGAACCTTGCTTGCTGCTCTGGAGAAATGGGAACATCTTCGAGAAGGTCATGAAGAAGCTATCTGTCTTCATCTACATTAAAAGGAGTCTAATGCCACAGGCGGTCACTCATACTTGGAGAAGGATGAGCAAGACCCATGTTTCAGAGGAGACAGACAGAAAGGTCAGGAAGGACAACCCCGGCTGCAAGCAGTCTCCCAGGGTTTACTGAGCGAACGCAAGCTGGCAGCTCCTCCTGGCTCCCCAGGGAGCATTGGGCACCAGCTACCGCAGCCGGGAGGGGAAACGGCTTGGGAGAAGCATCAGGCTGAACCAGCTGAGCCCAGGTTAGGCCCCTTAGGAGACACACGAGGGCAAAATAATCACTTGAGAGGCATGAAACAAGATACGGTCAGATAAAGCAAGTCAGACATTTCTCCTCCAGGAGATGGAAAACCCTCTCTGCTATAACAACAACAGCGACGGAGGACAAGGGACAGAAGGGCCCCTTTGGCAGCTTCTCCCGAGCCCAATGGCGGTGCCTGGGAGGAGAAGCGAAACAGCCACGTGGCAGAGCGACGGTGCTGATCCCGGTGCAGACGGCTGGAAGAGGGAGGACCACCGAGCCGCCCAGAAGGACCCACCGCCCCGCACGGGATGCCGGGACCCGCCTGCCACTACCCTTCTGGGCAAGCACCCGCTCTCCATCACCACCCGGATCGGGCAAAGCTGCAGCCTCGGGGAGGGCAGAAAGGCTAAAAATAATAAGCATTATTTTTTAAAACAATATATTCATCCCGCCAGATGCCCGGTAGCAGCTGTGCTGTAGCACTTTTAAGATTCGATCATATATCAGCCTATTATGACATCTTCCAACTGTACGTGTTAAAAATTAGCAGCAATATTGGAGTTGGGATGGAGGGCTAAATCTCCCAGACAGCTGTAATTAGTTCCAGAGGGTGCAGCTGTCTCCCTGCAACAGCTGAGGGGTTCGAGGGAAAAAGCCAGAGCCGGTGGTTTCTGTTAGAATTAATGGCCTGACAGGGCAAGGCGGGCTGGGAGAGGGAAGAAAGAAACCAAAACACGGGGCGTCTTTTCGATTTGGTGGGGTTTTTTTGTTGTTTTTTTTTTCTATCTTGAAGTTCCCCACTCCATTGTAAATCAGGGAGCAAGTGGCAGTGGAAAGTACAAATTCATTACAGCAACAGAGCCTCCATCATCGGCTTTCTTGCTTATTCTAGCCCTGTTGAGCAGGAGGGATCATAAATTCATCTCGGCCCAAGTTTGCAGAATAG